AATGTAAAATCGACCCGCAAATCAGTTTTCGAGCCCTAATCTTTCCAAAAAGTTATATGTTCATTGTTCTGATACGAGGAATTCATATATTAAATTTTAATGAAATCGGTCAATTATTTCCCTCTATATACGCAAAAATGTATATTTGGCCTGTAGTAAACGTCCAGTTGCTGATGCCTGATTTCTTCCAAAAGTTAGGAATTTTTGCGGACGGTCGGGAAAAGCTTATATATGAAATTTCAGGTAAATCGGTTGAATACTTTCTTAAAAATGTCCCGCTAAAAAGTGCAGTTCCTGAGGCCTGATATATCCCAAAAATTGATCAATCCATGCCATGGTGGAAATAAACTTACATATAAAATTTCATCAAAATCGGTTCAGCAGAACTTGAGATACACGCGTGCACACACAGACCGACAGACCGACGGACCGTCAGGTTGCTACAAATAGTTTACTTACACTTCCCTACTATGGAGAAGTACTTTCCCACCGAAAACTCTATATGCAAAATTTGTTGCCATCACATAACCTACCTATTGTTTACACAATACGGTCGGTAATAATGAAATTGTAAAAACAATGTTTTTTTTTTTAAGAATCTGGTTTTTGTGTGACGTATGTTTATGCTATGATATTTGTCTATATATGATTAGAATAAAAAGAAATTTTTACATAGAAATAATCCACAATTTGTTCAACCGCCTGGCTTGATGTCATTTCAGTGCTGTGTAAAGGTAACGCACATATAAAAAGTAATTTTCCAAAAATGTTAGGATCTCTCCTAATTTGTAAAGTTTTTGAAGAATTTTGAAAACTTTTGTAAAAATGTAGGACATATTATAAAGCTTCTGTTTTTGTTGTGAATTATAATAACACAATAAAATTATGAAATATAATTGTAAAATAACGTTTTTTGTTCATTAAAAATTTGTATTTGATGCCTTAGTTAGATATTAGCTATATTTTTATTTTTACGAATGTGATACTATAGATGGATGGATTAAAAACTCATCAAAAATCATAACTCACATTATTCTCTTATTCTTTTCAAGAGAAAAAGAAGAGTAGCAAAAAATATACATATGTACATATTACATAGGTATATATTTATATGTATACCCTTACGTATACGTTGGATATGTTATATTAATGTTATATGTAACGTACATGTGTTGGATATAAGCAAAAATTGTCATAGTATTCTTCAAAGAAAAATTAAAACAAAACAATTAAAGGAAAAATGGAAACTTCTTAACCAACTGCATCGGGTTGAACAATAAATCTATAAGATCATAATTTTTTCCTGTATGATTATATTTTTGATAATTTCTCTACTTTGTTTTTCCGTATGATTATGTTTTTATACTTTACTAAAAATTAAACTAATAAATCGAACGTGAAATACGAAATTTCCCTTTCTTACAACTATTTACTTAAGTATTATATTTTTATATAACAATTAATGTTAAAGCAATTTTAGGTATATATTACGTAAATGTTAATATTTTTTAATTGATTTTGTAAAATGCTTTTGAAAAAAAAAAATAATACAAACTGCTGCAAAGTAGAATGAATGTGCATTTTGCAGGTATAATTATGTACACATGTAAATAAAGGTTGTTACCACTGTGCTTTTCTATGTACTTTCTGAAAAATAAAATTTTGAAAAATATGCGAACCAGAATATTGAACATGGAAGCGAATAAAAATTCTTGTTTAGAATGTTAAGAAAATGCGTTTGTACTAATGACAAGCAAAACTAAACACGCACACTTCATTACTCTTAATAATTTTTGTATTTTATTTCCAAATTTTTATTTTATTTATACCTATATGTACATATATCTGAAATATAAGCAATATATATTGTTTTTTATTTTCTTTGCTTATTTAAATCTTTATCAGCTGATGAAGATTTAAAATTTAATCGAAACACATTGTTTTATTTGTCCTACACCAGACTACACAAAAAAATTTTAAATATTGTAAATTTTTAACGACAGCGTTTTTGTAGTTTTGTGTACAGTCGCGATAAAACCAGTTTTGTTTTTAGTACTTTTCCAAAAAAAATTTTTAAAAAAGTGCTTATTAGTTTCACCCTGTCCGTCATTCCGTCCGTCCGTGGACACTTTTTTTGTTTACAAAACTTCTACACCCTTGAAGATAGAAAGCTGAAATTTCATACATACATAGATCTTGACTAGAAACTTATTTCCGTAGAACAAAATTTTTACCTATCTCCCCCCCTCTAGAAGTTATACCCCTCCAAAACCCTAAAAATGGCCTTTTTTAACTATTTGTTGTAATGAAACCATAAGCATTTTTGAAATTTTGCAAACGCAGAAAGGCAGTGGAAATTATTTAAATAGTGTGATAGGTATACATAGACTGTATTTAAAAGCAGAATTTTCACTTGTTGAAGGGAAAAGTGCTACAATACAAACCATTGGTTTGACCCAACTTTGTTATCGCGAATTTTTGTTTATTTGAAGTGTTTTTTGCCTTACGAAAATTTTGCTCAAAATAATTTGATCTAAATATTAATTTTGATTATAAAATTTATTTTTTTTTTTCAAAGATCAAAACTCCGCGTATTGTGGGACACTTTGCTTCGGGTATTTTGGTCCACATTTTTACATGCATTTTAGTTTTGTTGAATTTAATTTTTAATTAATTTTGTCTTCTAAATTTTTTTATGTCTTTTTTTTATTCTGGTAAAATATTCCACGGTCCACTTTCACCTCAAGTGTGGTCCAAATTTCCCATCCATTTTCAGAACTTTGCAAATATCACTTCTTGCACTAAAAATGAATTTGCAACAAAATTATTTAACATAGAAGTCTAAAATATTGCATTTGAAATTGAATAAAGTAATCTTTGACTGTTACTCTTGTCCGGGTTAAAAAAGTAACTAAAAAGTCTTGTCCGGTTCATATGTACATAAATTTTTACTAGAAACTTATTTCTTTAGAAGAAAATTTTTACCTATTTTCCTTCTCTAAAAGTTACAGCTCCTTAAATTTCAATAAATGCCATTTTTGAGTAGTTATTGGAGCAAAACCAGAAACATTTTTGAAATTATGCAAACGCAGAAAATAGCAAGTGGCATCTTTTGCCGTGGCATATCATCTTTGAACTTCAGTTAAAATTTACTGTTAAACTTTGTCTAAAATTCGTTTTTTCTAAATTTTTGATATGGTTTTTTTCTAGATCTCAGATTGTGGACTATAAAATTTTAGTAGCTCTTAGATATTCATAAATAATTCATTTCGTTAAAAGAAACTTTTTAGCCGTCAATGAAGCCCCCTCTAAAATTATCACCACTCAAAATTTGTAAAATTTGAATTTTTGGCCCGTTAAAAAATATAATTATTTTTCTTAACTAGGCAATTAACCCTTAAACTTTGTTAAATGTTTTTTTTTGTTTTATTTTAAAGATCGCCTGCATTGCTCATCCTAAATGTATTCAATCTTTAAAACACATTCGTATATGAATGAAACTAATTTTAATAATGTAGTACACAGATTGTTTTTAAAAGCAGTATTTTCACTTGTTGAAGGAAAAAGCGCTACATTACAAAAAATTTGTTTGACCGAACTTTATTTTTTTTGTCGATACGTTGTACCTACTTCAACAGTTTTGCTATACGTAACTTTCACGACAGTACCTTCTCCTCACCGATATGAATTTTTCCAGAAATAACTCCAACTAATCACGTACAAAGAGCTTTAAAACTTTGACCAAACCATCCTGTATTTACTTTTGAATTGTTAAAAAAATGTGAATTTGCAACCTCGGCTGTAAAGGAATTGAATGTTAATAATCGATTAGCAGACAAACAATACATGCGATCTATTACACATAGGATGTAGATATGTTTCCTTAATTTTGAGTAGTATTGTCTGCTTAAATTCATAAGGAGCATAAAAAAAAATTACTCTGTTCTCATTTTTGAGTATAACTTTATTCCACATGCATGCATTCACGAATTATAATATTTCCTCAATTATTTTAGATTTACAGAAAATTTCTACTAACATTTTTATGACAATATTAAGAATAATATGTAATGACTTTTATTGCGTAGTAGGCTCATTCAATTTATGAACAAAATCTGTGTACACTTTATATGATACAATTTTACTAATACAATATAAGTATACAAAACGTAGTAACTTTGGCTACAATTTATGTATTATAAGATACATATATACATATAATGTATTTTATGATTTTTATGTTTTGTTTGTGTTTAACCATTTAATACACAATAAGCCAATTTTCTCAAATTTAAACTTCTCTCTATCAACATATAATTTATTACTTTAGGCAAATACCAAACACTAATTTTGTTTGACCTCCTATAATGTAATTTCACTTAACGTAAAAATTTTTCGGTCCCAAAAATTACGTTAAGTGAGAGATTGCTGTATCAGAAGTAGTTCTAGTGACTTCGTTTACAGTAGATACCATAACACATTAACTAAACAAGATAAATAAAACTCCACATTATCATTTACATTTTAAATATCTAAGTTAAAGTCACCTAAAATTATTAAATTCCTAGTTGCAATAATGTCTAAAAAAACTCACAAATTTCGCAAAAAATTTATTAAGGGTGCTTCTGTACAATCTATAAACACAAACAAATGTAAAAGCTTCACTATTAAAATTGTGAAAGAAAATCGGCCGAAAAAAAATTTAAACTAACTATCTCCTCACAAGCAAATTTATCATTTGCAAATGAGGTTACTATTTTATTTTTTCTTTGTTTTGTTTAAATTAAATTTGATTTGAACATTGATCCCTAAGCGATTACAAGAGTCTGTAATCCCAATCGCTCCATTAAGAGGTGTTTCACAACAAAAAAAAAATTGACATATTAGATTTTACGCTTAATAAACTGCAGTACAGTGACTTTTTTAATGCTAGTATCTCTGGTTTTATAAATTATTATCCAAACCTAGTCATACAACAGCCTAATTTTTAATGTACTTACCGATATTTTTCCCATTTATAACGTTCTTGAGCAATTTCCGATGCTTGCAATGATAATTCTTTAGGAGTTGGAAGGTTAACTTTCTTTTTCTCAGCAATTTTATGCGTTCTTAAAAAATATATTGTTATTTAGTTTTTTACTGGAGGTTTTATTTAATTTGTAATACTTACTCATCAAAAGGTGGAGAACGTTGAACTCTTGGGCGAAAAACAGAAGAATGAATGTTTTTACCTTTACTTTTATTTTTTTTGTCATCTAATTTTGCATGGCATTTTAAATCTTCTTCAATATTTCTATTAAAAGACGTATCAGAATCGCTTGAAATATCATCAAGACTATTACGATCCTTACGAGTTAATGAAATCATGTGATCGGCCCTCTTACTCGGTGCTCGAACTCTAGGGGGCGACGGATCTTGTACTTCTACAATAAAATAGAAACCGTTTTATATAATTCTTTATTCAATAAAGTATGATATTGTATAAATACTTGAAGTTAGTTAATTTTAATTGTGTATGTACACATGTATATATCTTATAATTTTGATCCTTATATAAATACATACGTAGGTGAGCATTTAAAATGAAAATTTGCGAAAAAATACTTGATTTTCTCACAAACTACATAAACGGAGCATGCAAATTCAGTGAGAAAGTTTTGTTGTACTAACTTCAGTAGATATACTTTTTTTCAAAAGCTTATCTTTTTATAAACATATGTTGAAAATAGCAAAATACTTTACTGTACGTACGTTTTTTATTTTCGACTAAAGTCCTATCAATAGCATTAATAAAATTCGGACCAGTCTTTTCATCAAAATGTTTTTCAGCAATAATTTCTTGCAAAATAATATTTCTTTTCCGTTTGAAATCATTATTTTCGCAAACGGATGGAGCCAAACGCCCATGGTGCTGTTCGATCGCCTGTATAACCCCTTCAATTAAGCGTGGCATAATGGTCTTTGCTTCTGGATTATAACGAAATGGTATCAGCTCTTTAACAACAGTTGGAAAGTGTTTCTCCTAGTGGGTACAAAGTAAATATTTTGTACATAAAATTAACAGACAAATACATACTATATAAACACAAAAAAGAGTAAATAAATAAAACGTTTATAACAGCTTTGAATTTTTTTTTCTAAATCATTTATAATTATTAAGAAACACTTTTTCCACCAAAATTTCAGCTTTTTACAATGGTGTAAATTTTGCACAAACATTTTTTGACTTACTACTTGAAATTTACTTAACTTATAACCGGAACTCAAAGTTTTCGATCAAACTTTAGCTATAATTAACAAAATAATGAAATGTCAATAGTATGGAGTAATAAGGAAAATTTTTGAAATTTGAAAGAAAAACACCTTTGCCAAACTCCGTTTACTTGTATAATTCAATTTATTTTTTAATTCTTAATTTACGTTTCAAAGTGTTGTGCATTTGTACATTAATTATTCTATAAAAAAAAAACACTATGTAAACTGTTACTCAAATTTTGAATTAACTATCAAAGAGGTTATTTAAAAAAAATAAAGAATAAATAATATTCACTTTACAAAAATATCACGTCTTTTAAACAAAATTATAATAAGTTTGCACAATTGTAGTAAAGTTATCTTATTATTAACTTTAATTGCTAAATGGCAATTACTCGAATCTGTCAAATCATTCGATAGAAACTTCACGCATATTATGTCTAACTTATAAGAGGACACACGATTGCCGAGTTTCATGAATATATCCTTAATATTTTTCCAAATATTTAAAATTAATTTTCGGAGTTATATGGTAGCTAGACGAACCTGACAATGGATTGATGGATGAACGGACGGACGGACATGTTTCAATCAACGCAAGAAACATTTTACGCTGAGCAAGAATATGTGTATATATATATCCATACCGAAGACGACTCCTTCGATTAATTACAAACACCGTACCAAAGATAATATACCCTTCACGAAGTGCAGGAAGTGAAAAATGTTGAAAATATGTTAGTATTAACTGTTTTCCATTGAAGAAGTTAGATTTTTCTACAATCCACAATTTTTTTTCATTCGCAGATGAATCGAGACTGTATATCCACCAAATGTTAAGATATGAAAGAATAATATATTCATCTTAAACTTATAGACAGCTACATTTTTCATTTTGCTTTAGTATTTATTTTAAAGTTATATTTTTTATCACTTTACTCTCCTTACATTTTTAAATTATGACGTTTTCATTATATTATGTACATATATATTTTTCTACAATATTTTGATTTATATGAACACTTGAGTCGTTAAAGCATCTGCATTTGTCTACATTTGCACGAGAAGTATAAAAAAAAAAAACTTTTGAAATGGTGCAACATATTGTGTTTATGCTGTAACATGTACATAACAAAAATATTTATAAGAAATTAATTTACACATATGAAAAAAATTTGCCAATTTTTTTTTCGATCACAAGCAAATATTAACTTAAAAAGCTGAAAACAAGGGAAATTCAAGAGGAAATAAAAATTTCGAAAGTAGTGCAAATTTTAAAATATGGTAATATATATGATCAATTTTCGAACTTTTTTTGCTTATTTTTTTGAGCTCTGATTTCAAATAATATATTTTAATGAAGATATACATTTAATTGAATAAAAACAGTACTGTGCCTCTTCCTCTACCGACATTAAATCTAGTATGTATTTCATTAGCACTTAATGAGTGTACATAGGAAAAAAGTATGTATTTTCTGTTTAATTATTTTACTAAATGTCATAATATCTTCTAAGATCTAATAAAATGACAGCTTTATCATGATAGACTGCTGTGTTACCCACAAGTGTATATTTAAAACGAATGGACTATGTGATGCAATTTGAAATAGTTGAAATAAGATACACTACAAGAATTTTACGTTCCAACCTTCTTTTTGGTTTTTAAAAATTTAAAATTGGTTTTATAAATTTTTTGAAGTCAAATTTAAAAAAAAAAGAATGGCACAATTTATTAGGAACAAAATATTTATTAAATCGCAAATATGTTTCGCTATATGCAATCACACCAATAATTATTGTACAAAGCCGAAAACAACAAGAGATTTAGTAGCTTAACGTAAATGTTTTTTTAAGATATTAATATCCATATACTTGATTCTACTTTAATTTTGCATTGAAATCGCTTTGCAAAAATATCTATAAGAAAAACTGCATATAATTTACTAAAAACTCTTTTCTTTTGCTTTTTTAAAGAGCAAAAGACACGAGTTTTAACAAAAATATGTATTAACAATTTAACATTTTATTCCGAACATAAACTATGTATTTTCTTTAAAACACTTCCATATACATTTATTTACGATAACTTCAATACTTTTAGTTTAATGGTATTTGATGTATAAAATTTTTTTTTAAAAAATTGGATTTGTTTATTTAAAAAATTACTGTTATAAAATAAACAATTCCTTACCAAATATTTAAGTCGATGATTATAGCTTATCCAGTGTCCGAAAATTGTTCTTTGATCACCTCTCTTGTCACATAACAAACAAATGTATGACGGGTCTTTGCCATCAATAGTTAACTCGACACAATACTCAATACCTATTAACGCTCCATCTTTATATTCTGTTAAGTAGGTTTGTATGATGGATGGTACTTTAACTTCATCTTCAAAACCAGGAGGTACAGGCTCCCCGGGTGCAATATTCATTTGAACTAAAAGAATATTTTTATAAGTTTTATAACTATTTTTATAAAGCGTTCATTTACTTTAGGTTTTCAATCATTTAAAACTCACTTTTTGGTTTGGCAGTTAAGGGAGCACGAAAAATATGCACATCGATATGTGGTTGCGATAGCTTTTGCTGATGTTTTTTTCCAGAAATATGAGTTTGCAAAGCACGTTCACTTGTTAAATTAGCTACACCACACAAATGACAATTATAAACAAATTGCTGCAAATTGTTTTTATTTGCTACACGTGAAAAAACGTGTCCTTCTGAACCGTCGCTTAAACGAACTGTTTGACTGAGAAAATGTCTTTCGATATCCTAAATAATATATTCAAAATTTGAATAATATCATATATTACGTAGACTATTCTGTGAATCAAAAAAGTCACAAAGCTTAAAATATGTCATGTAAAAAAAAAAGAAATTGTGTAAAATAGCACCTCTTCAACAATTTAATTTTAATGCAAATGATATTTTAAATTTCGCAGATATTTGAGATAATTGAGACATATATTCACTTAATAGTTCTTCTAATTTTCCCAACTTTTAATAATTGAAACGATTTTTTAACTAAAATAATTGATAAACATGATTAAGATATATATCAGTGTAATTTAAAATTATATTATTGACAATGTGATAGAGAGAAATATGATTTAATAAATAAAGAAGTACTATTCTTCATATTCATATTCATGGCTCTTAAAATTTTAGATAATTTAAAAGATTTTTTTTTATTTAATTTAAAAACAAAAATTAGAATATCTCGTATTAGAAGTGTTTTCAATAGTTAAATTTTTATATAAAATACTACAAGCATTAGATTTGTATTGTTATTGTTCCTAGTAACATTAAGGTATTACTCATTAAAAATTGCTATTATTTGTAAACGCCAAGAGAAATTATGTTTGTAGTTTTTATTATTGTTGTAATTGAATAAATCGTACTTACTCAACAGTGAATAATTCATAATGGAAATTAAAGTGCCATTTAGCATCTGATTTATTAAGATAGTTATAGATAATTCATTATAATACATTCAATATAATGCATTATAATGTGTGAACATTGTGGTGTAATATAATGAACTCACAAACAAGTGTGAGCTATTAATAATGTAGGAAAAAATTAATATACTACGTAAAAAATTTACAGAAACACCAGTAAAAATTTACAGGAGAATTTTTTACATAGTATATTTTTCACCCGTAAAAAAATGTTTAATAGCTCACATATTTCCACTAATTTTATGCTGTCACATTTCTATCTTAAACAGATTTCATTATAATGCATTATAATGTATTGTAATGTATTAGCTATCTTGGACAGAACTAATGTTTTTAAACTTTTGACAGCAAACATTTAAAAAAAAATATTAAAAAAAAAGTAAAAAGATAAAATCAGCTGATCCTACGAAAACTTTTTTAAAAATATATTTATGGATGCCTTTATAAAATACCCAACAAGTTTTAATTTATTCAAAGATTACATATAACAGTGAAATTCATAATTAAAAATAATAATTTTATAGATACTGTTTCTTTTTTAAATTCATATTGAAAAAAATACCAGCAAAAATCAAATTGGAATTATACCATATCTTTGTAACGGCTTATTTTAAATTTTTCTTTTTTTTTTAATTCGTATAAGGTATTTTTCAAGTACATATGTGTATATTAAACTAACTGAACATTTTTAGTTTGAAATAGTTTTGCTTTTTAGAAAATTAGATAAATAAAAATTATCATAAAGAATTAATAACTCATTAACACAAAGTAGAATTATGTATTTAAAAATGATATGGAAGTTATGTGGATGAACTGTAGTGCCCCGTCCAAAACTACTGAAAGCTAACTTCAAGGGCTCTATCTACATTTTCCCGAAGTTCATCGTCGTTTCTTCGAACCCTCGTAGCTTGGGTTTGGATTATACTACGCACAAAAAAATTTCGGGGTATGATGCCAATAGTGGACTCGTTAAACATATACTACCATATTCTGTTAGTCGCGAATGACGCGATAAAAAATTGTATCACTTCCCGTCTCCTCAGACAATAATTTTATAAAAAGTCAGCCTTTTTCTACTATCGACATTCCAATTTTTTGATGTTAAAAGGTTAAAAAATTTTATGATTTAATGTAAAAATTTCTAAAAAAATATTTAAATACAACTTTTAATTTTCTGCAACAAACAGACTAAAAAGGAACAAATGCTACATTATACAACTATGCCTCGTAAATTCGATTAAAAGGATTAATTTGCACCTAGCAAAATAAAGGGAAATTAAAAAGCCTCTAACAACAGTGTCACACCATTAAAAAGGAAATTTCATAAGCCTTAAAATGAGTACACGAACTTCGTTTGCCTCCTCATATTGCGCTAATTATAAGAAAATATAATAATTTATAAATAAAAAAAATAATTTATAGTAAATAAATTATATATGTACATATAAATAATATAATTATGTCTACTAAAAGCAGTTAATTTACGTTTAAATATACGTTGGATTCGATAAGAGGAGCCAATAAAAAAATATTAATATTAGTTAAGAAATTAAAAGGAACAAAAAAATTTTAATAGAAATATATGCAAATACAACAGACATCCATGCATAGTTTAGCCAAAACATTTTCATGCAAAATGTGGCCAATACGAAACCTTGTGACTAGTATTTAAAAAACAAAAGTCGTCAGATCTGACGTATAACTAATATAAGTTTCTAATTCTAAACAACATAATTCTACAAACCCCAACTTCATAAATTATATTGTATATCTTACCTAAGGACTTTAATGATCACTAGAGGGTGATTCAGTTGCGAAATCAGAGTTTTTTAGATATTAATAAACTGAAGTATAAAATTTCATTGGCACCTAAAACTTCCAAATTATATAATAAAACTTAATACGATATATTACTAAATCTAAATTAAACACCACTAGAACTACCATTCCGTCAAAATAACGGAATTTAATATTTTACATATAAATTTTATTGTTATTTTTTTTTAAATTAATAATGACTTTTAATATGAAACTAAGGTACTCAAAAATTGACTATCTTCTTGTTAATAAAACCGTTAATTCTGAGGAAACGCCTTATGTACACTTATACATACAAACCCGTCAAAATGACGGAATTAATAATTTTGTTCTTATATTTATAAATACTGGCCAAATTTACAGTTGCTTGAATGAAAAAAAGTAAAACTTCTCATCGAATAAATATTCTATTTATATATTCCGGGAAATCCCCAACAATGAAGAATAAAATACTGTTAGGTAATATACATATATTTATTTAGTTGATGCCTTTTAGTTGTGTAATGATATTTGTTATAGCAATTTCATATTTTGCAAACGTAACAAAGTGAAAAAAGTTAATTTTATTGTTTTTACAAAATTTTATGTATATAAAAGTGATAATTATCTTTTTTATAATAAAATTACTAAACCACCAAGGTAAGTTTAATTTTATTCAAAATAATATTCATATACATATAAAACAATTGCCCTTCTAATAAGGTTTTATAATTATGAACCGAAATACTAGAATAACAAAATTATTGAAAAATGGGGACCTCGTTTTTTCAAAAGTACAATGAGTAGAAACAAGTTCACGGAAATTTTGCGCTTTATTCGATTTGATAAAAAAATGAAAGAAGTAAGAAGTTTTACAAGTACAACTCTTTCCAACCAAGGCAAGATGTAGGTATACGCAATACATGACATATAAACCTTCTAAATTTGGGATAAAGTTTTGTTTGGTAACCGATGCTGAAAATAGATATGTACTAAATGGTTTTCCACACCTAGGAAAAGATAATTTACGAATATCATCGAAACCTTTACATGAATATGTGGTTCTAAAGCTTGTTGAACCTTGTTTAGGTTGCGGAAGAAGTATAACTACTGACAATTTTTTTACCAGTATTCCATTGACAAAAAAACTTTTAGCTAAAAAAACAACATCAGTTGGAACTAGGCGAAGTAATAAAAAAGAATTACCGCAAAAAGCAAAAGTATAAAAAAATAACATGGCTCGATATGAAACTATACTATTAAAGTCTGATAATATAGTTCTCACTATTTACAAATCATAGCCTGCGAAAAAAGTATTAGTTCTAAGTTCCAAACATACCAACGTGAAGATTGCCAAAAATTATAAACTTTTACTAGAAACTGTCGAATTCTATAAAAAAACTAAGTTCGGAGTAGATGTTTTTGACCAAATGGCTCGGAAGTACAGTGTAAAAGCAAGTTCCCGTAGATGTCCATTGCAAGTTTTCTATAATAGATTTGGCAGGAATCAACGCCTGGAGCTTATATAAGGATATTACTAGCGAAAATTTATAACAAAAAAAACAATTTTTATACCAATTATGTGAAGAACTCGCTAATAAATATATACATAATAAAATGCTGAAATCTTCGCAGCCAGAAAAATGGAGTATAATAGAGACCATGAAATCTACTTCGGAACATCCTAAAGAAGATATGCAGCGAAAATCTTGTGTAATTGGATTCTGCAATAAAAACAAAACAAACTCTCTTTGTTTTAAATGCACGAAATACATGTGTGGGAAGTGTACTGCCGAAAAAATTTCTATTTGTAAGAAATGTGCTACATAAATCCTTTTTATTTATTTACTATATATTATTTAACTGAATTTGTACCTTTTTTATTTTAAATTATAATAAACTAGAAGTTTAGAAATTTATTCACAATTTTTTAATTAAATTCCATTTTTCAAACTCCCTTCAAGTGAAAATACTTTATAGAGCACCATCCCATTGATAAAAAGATATTTAGTATATTAAAACAATCTACTACATACATTATTAAAATTATTTTCGTTCATTTACCAAAATGTTTCAAAGATTGCAAACATATAAATGAGCAATGTATGCAATCTTTGAAAACAAAAAAAAGAAAATAGAAAGAGGCCTGAATTTAAGGCTTAATTGCGTCAGTTAAGAACAAGTAAAAACGTTTCTGTCGGTAAAAAGCGATTGAACTATACCCTGCACCTTTCATTGTTGTATAGCAATTACTAGAGCCTGTGAAACAATTTTATAGAAACTTCCACATATGTCTGACCTATAATTGGACATACGACTGCCAAGTTTCATGAATATGACTTGATTATTTTTCTAAATATTTAAAATTAGCTTTTGGAGTTGTATGGCATGTACCCGCACCTGTCAAGAAATTCCACTAAAACTTCAGAAATATGTCTGCCCTAAAATTGGACACACGACTGCCAAGTTTCATAAATCTGACTTTATTATTTTTTCGAATATAAAAAATTTGCT